AAAATCAAAAGAGCAGTACCTGCCGTGAAATAATTTGGGTGAAATACCAGAATCCAACCTGGCAGTCTTTAAGCTGTTTTTGAAAAGTTGTGCATTGGGGTTCAGTAAAATTTAAAATCTGGGTCAAAAATGTAAGTTTTTCAACAACTTGAGGAAAGTTTTCCTTTAACAAGTCTATTGTTGTCTTTATTCTACAAATTTCTCTTTGACATAATTTGTGTCTTTGACAATTTGGCAGATTTTAGTTGATTCTTTTAAAGTAAATTTGCCTTTTCCAGGACCACAATAATAATGTTTTTCATATTATACTCTTAAATTAAGCCATAGTTAATCCTTAAAATTATCCTTGGAATTTTTCTAGCGTTTATAAATACCTTAGAAGTACAGTAGTGCAATCAATTTGAAGGTGCATCTCCTTGCTGGCATGTTACTGTTTTTGGCAATGGCACAGGGTAGCGAGTTAGGGCTCTGAACTCTGGAGCTGAGGGTTGTCAGTTGAAATCCTGAGGGAAATTTTTCTTTTGTATGCTTAGACCAGATATTTCACTATGGTTTTTCCAGTTAACACTACTTGATAAAATAATGCAGTACTTCTACCTGTTATTGCTTTGACAACATTGTAACTCATTGGTCATGCCAGTCAACCTCTTTTGAATTTTAATTTGAATTGAAGGAATAAAGTAGAGGTGATGTTGCCCAAGTCTGTTCATTTGATTTCACTATTGTGATTATCCTTATCGTCTGAGTTTTATTTATACAGGGTATTCTGGCGCTAATTGTAAATTTTTGGGTGAAATGGACACTGGACTTCTGAGTGTCAGATTTAGCTTGGAGGTCCATTGAAAGCCTTGGATTTTGCCAGGAATCTTTGTTTATTTGCGATGCATTGTAGTGATAATTGCACCTGCCTAACCAGAAGTGTCTCAGGTTGCACTAAAGCACTCCTTTCTGGAGGAGACGCTTCCAAGCCTGGTGCGTGATTTCTGTAGACTGGTTCATAAAATACACAGCCCTTTGTCCGGCCTCTCGGAAGAAAACAATGAAGATTTACATGCAGCAGAATGCCTTTTCTGTAGAATGTGCGAAATGCCCTACTTACAGTGATAATCGTGACATGAAACATCCAAAATGCTGGCCAATCTAAACTGCAAATGTCATGCTTTTGGCTGATGCACAGTGTCTAAAGTATTTTATTTAGGTGCTCCTTCTGAGTGCATTTATTAGTGCAGAGGTTGGCAGGAATGCAACTGCAAGCAGAAGGCTGTGGACTTAGGTTTAATTCGAGTGCGGATGCTCTGGCACTCTTTGTGTCAAAGCTAAGTAAAGCAGCCAGTCTTTAAGCTCCCCCAGGCCTGTTTTTTTTCTTCTGGCAGTTTTTCTTTCTTCTGGGATCTTCACAGAAAGACCTTCATTGTTCCTGGGGCCCGTTATGTTAAATGTAGAGGGGTTACTGGTTTCTCTGTAGATGCTGCTATAGAACGAACACAGAGGTAGACATAACAGTAATTTAATGTTTAGTGGCAGAGTCTGAGAATCTGGGGGAGTGTCCTACAGCTCAGCCAACATGTTTTCTATAGAAGGGATTTACAGTGTTGTGATCAGAGCTTTGCAGCCCCTCCTGGACTTATCTAGAGTCCACAAGTGCCGTGTGTTCATGAAGTGACTGGGGAAAATAGCGGTGATCTATTGGAAGTCCCTGGTGTCCTTTGAATCTTATTGAGTTAATCGTTGTCAGCTTGATGGGTCTTTTTAGTTTGTATCCAATTTATTTGGAACCACCTTGCCTTTTTAAAGTCATTGGGTATGCTGGGAATTTATGACCTGCAACATGCAAGCTATTAAGAATTGTCCCGTGTATTTCTTCTCGTCTAATGTGTTTTTTGCTTCTGTATGAAAAGGGCTCTGTAACTGTGAAGCTTTGTGTCTCTGAATGCAGAGGTTTTCGTTTGTCACCCTTGGATATTGTTGTGTGGACTGCTGGGGTCTGTGATGATAGGATTGCGTCAGGTCGATGGTGACAGTTGGTACAGCAGACCTGTCTTGAGTTAAAAAGCGTTTGAAGGAATATTTTTTGCCAGAAAGAGAGGATGCTTAGCAGGGTAGTTTCCTGGGAGGAGTGCCTCAGACTGCCTTTTCCATTAGTTGTCCTTTTAACGGCAAAAGACTATAGCTTGGGTTTGGTTTCAAACATAGTCGGGAAATAGGTTTTAAATCACAAAACTTTTTTCTTACTGTTAAATAATGTGGATTCTTAACAGCTCTGGGCAGTTCAAAAATGAAACCTATGAATATCGTTTCAGATGGTATGTTGGGAAATTTGCGGAATGTTTTTTTTTTAAATACTCAGTAGCTTTAAAACATCTGTTGTAAGAACCAACAGGTTAGCAAGTGCATGGGTGTTCTGTTTTTAATAGTTTTTCCATTTCTGTACAATATAGACATCAAATAGAAAACCATACAAGGGATATGAGGGCATACAAAAAATGAATTAAATAAATTCTTAAGGTGAAACTGAGCACGCGCACTCGTCTCATCAAAGCCAAATTATAGAGGTAACTGTTGCTTTGTAATGGTTCACAGTCCTTTCTGGCAAAAATAAAACCCTTCTGTATCTGATTAAGAGGTGACTTTAATGATTCTTGTGGACCTATGATGCCAGTTATTGTTTGTTTGTTTGTTTCCTCAGGTGTTAATTTCTCTGCTTCGGTAGTGCGTATTGTTTTCAAACGTTTTGTAGCTGTAAGTGTCGGGATATCCTAAATTATTGAAAATGAAATTAAGAACAATATTTTGCTTGTCAAAATGTTAAATTTAAGAGGATTTTGTATGCGGCATCATAGGGAAAAAATTGTTTTGATTCAGACATGAACTGGATATTTCTTTTTTTAACTTTTTATTCAGACATGAACTAACTAGATATTTTACCCTATTAAAAATTGCAGACAGAGGAAATGACTTTCAGCTGTTCTTTCTAAGCAACTGGGGAACAATCATCTCATTAAGATTACTTTATCAAAACCTTATTTTAAAGTGAAATGAACAGTCTTGTTAAAACCCTGTGCTTCATTTACTGTTTTCTGTGTCGCCATGTCAAATTATCAGTTGCTTTCTCTTCAGAAGCTTTAGGGAACTATTCCAAAAACGTGTCGAAAAATTAAATCTGAGTTTTTCTCAGCTGCAGTGCCCCAGTGGTTAAATTTTAAAAATTATATATCGTAAGTTACGCTTATGCTTTGGTACGTTTTTTCACCTTTTAAGTGTCTTTGAAGCTGTAGGCTACAGACTTGGTGGGGAAAGTAATCAGCCCTTTCAGTATTCCAGCTTTCTTTTTTTAAGTGCTATAAAAAAGTGCAATAGCTTTTTAAAGATTAAGTGCCAAGTGCTTTAATTAAGTTTTAGTGTTTTATAATATGCATTAATAAAAAAAGAATATACATTTTAGCGGTGCAGTGCCTGGGGGCCTGGGTTCAACTCTGGATCTGGGGTGCTATCTGCGTGGAGTTTGTATGTTCTCTCTGTGTTCTTGTGGGTTTCCTCTGGGTGTCCCAGTTTCATCCCGAAGTCCAAAGACATACTGGTAGATTAATTGGCGTAAAGGAGAATTGGCCCTGGTGTGAATGTATGCGTGTCTGTGATTGCGTCTGTGTGTTCTTCCCATTTGGGGTCATGGGGGAGCCAGAGCCTATTTTGGCAAGCAACAGGAGCAAGGGAGGATCCACCCTGCATGGGAAGCCATTCCATCACAGGGCAGGCTCACAGACTCAGACGTACACAGCTGCATTGGTAGAGTTTAGAAATCATTTTGGGTTTACTTGTCAGTTTTGCTCATTTTAAGTGCCTTTCCTTTGTTTAAAAGCTTTTGATTTTATTAAGAAAAGGAATATGGTAATTAATTTGTAAAGAGAAGGCATATGATTAATCTTCCTCATAGGAGCGTGATGAGTCTCTTAAACTATCCTGTTGAGTCGAGGACTAAAATCCATCAATAAAGAAATTACTCTATTTCGAAACGTGCAGTATTGTCCAATTCAGATAAAAAGCTTTCTCATTATTACTGATTGGAAATTAAAAATCTGTGGATTGCCGGATTGATGATAATGAAAAAGATAGGAAATCTTATCTTTTTTTTTTAAACGTTTTTAATCGGGTCTTATCTACTTCAAGAGACTGGTACCTGTCAGCTCAGCATTTAGCAAAAAGGGCGAAATTTGTTGGGAAATGACATTGAGAAGTCTTTTCAGGGAAAACAGCTGTTGTTCATCAGTTTGTTTTGAACCTTGCCCCCTCTTGAGTTCTAAGCGTGTAATGATATTGTAACAGCATAGTAATTGTTTGACTTGTACTGAGAGTAAGTATATTTAATCTTAAACACACCAAGCAGCAACCTGTTAGGAGAAGCTCACTCTTTTTGCAGGCTTTGCTCCTTTAGTGGGCATTGTCGCGGCATAAAATTATACAATGGCCTACCAGGCCAGTGAGCTGGGGGTCGTTTTTAGAATTTGAGCCAGTACGGGTCTGTAAGAAGGGACGTGCTGCATGGGTGCAGTCCAGCTGTCAATGTGGAATCTGCTGATTCAGGTCAGATTTCGTGCTCTGCCGAAGATCGGGCTCTCCATGTGATGGGCCATCTTGTGCAGCCGAGTCGGGGACCTCACTACAAAAATCCTTCAGAGACTCTGTGGGGAAAAAATATTTTAGTTTGGCTTGAATTTTGAATGTATCATTTAGATTTGTTCCTTTCTGTGTACCGTGCATGTTAATGTTCTTTGCTTTTGAGTCTATTTGAGTTATGGTTTTCTGACATTACCTTTCCTTACGGCTCCGCAGTCTAGATGTCAGATTCAGTTCCCGTTCTTGCGCAGATTTGTGATCGGCAAGGCGTGCTGGTTTTTTTTTTTTGTTTCGTAGACTCCGCGGTCCGCGGCGCGAGCCCGTCGGGGACGTTCCGTGCCCTTGGCTTCTGGTCTCGGTGGTTGACGGCATCCGTGATCCTCTTGCAGGTGCGATGGACGAGCTCCACAGCCTTGACCCCAGGCGACAGGAGCTGCTAGAAGCCCGGTTCACCGGTGGGGTGAGCGGCAGCACGGGGGGCAGCACAGGAAGCGGCAGCGCTGGAGCGAAGGTGAGTGCCACAGGTGGGCGGGGACAGGGGGCGTGTCCAGCAGCAGGAAGGTGGGGGTGGGGCGTGGTCAGCTGCAGGTGGGTGGGGACAGGAGGGGCATGGTCAGCAGCAGGTGGGTGGGGACAGGGGGCGTGTCCAGCAGCAGGAAGGTGGGGGTGGGGCGTGGTCAGCTGCAGGTGGGTGGGGACAGGAGGGGCATGGTCAGCAGCAGGTGGGTGGGTGGGGACAGGGGGCGTGGTCAACAGCAGGTGGGTGGGGACCGGGGGCTTGACTAGCAGCAGACTGGCAGGGGGGTGGTGGCGCGGTACTGCTGGCTGCAGTGTTTTTTTTTACTGTCAGGAAAAAGGGGGTGAAGTGGATCAATATTCTCTAATTTTACCATTCAGCAGCTAAATTTTGCCATTTGGCACTGTGTGTACTATTAACAGCACATTGCAGTTCAGTTCTGGTCTCTTAACTGCTTTGAAGCAGTTTAATAGATTAATAGACCTGAAAGTAGTATATAATGTACGGAGCTCATCACCACAGATTTTGCAGCAGCCTAGGTTGTGTAAAAGAATCAGTTGATTATGGGAGACCCCCTCACCCCCAATAAAATATTTTTATTTATGTTCATTTATGATTTTTAATATTAAGTATAAAGACATGACCTGTTATTCTGTCATAGAAAGTAGACACACTTTGAAATAATTATTATGGTCACTCTTTTTTTTTTATTTTACTTGATCTTCTTACACTGTTGTGTTTTTTTTGTTTTTAGTTTGTGCGTTTCCTGTAGATGTGTATCATTTAAATGCTGCGGCTTGCTAATTAAGTGTTCAGCAGGTCTTATACTTCTATGTAATAAATCTACAACTTTATAGTGTTGCAGTCAGTGTAAGATGCAGTTCACTGATGCATCCTTGTTCTTCTTTTTCTCTCTAGGCCTTGACAAACAATGAATGTTCGAATCACAGCTTTGGAAGTATTGGTTCCCTAAGTGATAAGGAGTCGGAGGTACATGTTTCTTTTAACTAAAGTGTTCCCATTTTGTCCCACCACCACCACTACAGTTCTGATCTGCATCATTTTAAGCTGGGGTCTTTGAATGAGATGTTCTTTAAAGTTGTATATTTAAAAAAAAAATCATTTTGCACACTGTAAGCCAAGACTTATCATATGGGCAGCACACTGCTTGTTGTATTTTGAGCATCTGCTAGATGGTGAAGTGTATATTTGTAGACAGTGCCTGATTTTTTCATGCTAAACAACAGCTCCAGTGACTGATCTTGACATGGTTCTGCACCAGTCAGTGCTGGTTCATGCCAAGTTGATTTGTCACACATCCTTGATAACGAATTGCTCTCGATACATCCCAGAAGAGAACATGTTTTTTTCTGATATGTTAAACATCAAATTTGCACAAGCTTGTTTTGTTTAAGAGGCCTAATTTTCTGTTCGGTTCTATGGTTGCCTCTTCTCTTAATCATAAGGTTGGAAGAAAATTAAGTTTGCAGATTAAAATCCTTAAATGTTGTTTAACAGCTCTGCTGCATTAGGAATTACCATCCTCTGTACAAGCCTTTACTAAATTGTTCTCTGAATGGCTTTACTGTTTACTGTATACACTGCACCACTGGGTATTGAGAACATTGGAACTGGGTTTTTAATGTAGCAAGGTGCGTGTTGTATAAACACTGCATTTGGTAATTTTGCTTTCATCATTCACTTGTAATTTAATCTGGATTTAACAAATTATCTGCAACAAACAGCCTTAATCATTTAATTTTTCAGTATTCATACTTTTTAAATCTTTAAAAAAATCACTGATTACTTTTTACCACATAAATAATTCCAAAGATAAGTATTTAAGTTATATGCAAGTGCTTTGATGTATCTAGTTTTCAGAATTAAAATTGACACTGCTGCTTTTATTTGTAAATTTGGTGACAGTATGTTTGTTATAAGTGTTAATTTGTGTTTTTAAACATGTGCCCTTAAAAAATACTCCAGAGTGTCAAATACATTCTTGGGTGTTGTATGAGAGTTACGTTCTTTTTCAGATTCACTTACACATAGCATTGAATTAGGTGAATGAATTGGGGAAATTGACAATGATGCATAATTTGATCTTCCTGCTTTAAACAGTACATGCCACCAGTGGTTTACTAATCACATGACTGCAACATTGTTTTGACCAATCATCTCCATTCAGTGCAGTGTGTAAAGATATTCTTCATGTTTTGCCTTTATTTAGCATTAGGTAGGTGGGCAATAGAAGCAGTGCTTGATGGCCTCTTGAGAGACTTTGTGCTCAGTAAATCACAGTCAGCCAGTTAAGTGTGAAGTGGACTCCAGCAGAGCTTTGTTAGAATTAACATAAGAATTTAGCATGCCAATCTAGAGCGGGCATTAAGAACCTTATTGCTCAGGTCAGTGTCTCTCCTCTCTTCCTTTGCGGTAGGACACCTGCTGGTGTAATAAATCACTGACTGAGGCTTCTGTTGGGATAGAATAAACAGGCTCTGTCCTCCCTGTGCCGAGCTGCTGAATGTGCACAGATGTCACAGGCACAGATGCTAGCCATACGTCACAGCATCTCTAATGATGCGCCGTTAATGTTCTCAATCAAAGTAACACCTGTCATGATTGTCATTTTGAAAGTCATTCCAAACTGTTTAAATCTGTTTAGCACTGACTTGTAGTAAACATAAAATTTGGTTAGCTCGACTGTATGTATTTATTTGAAAGAATCCCTGTGGAGTTCCTTGCTGTCTAGGAATGTAATGTGTGGATGGGCTGACTTTTCATTTGAAGTAGTGGGAATTACGATGGTTATTGCCACTTGATACCGTGTTCATGTGAGCTGTGGAAAATCTGGAATTTTGGGGGGTTTCCTTTCTTTCGAATGAGCGCAGAGCAAGGGTCAATCTGCTGTTGGTGTCTGTTCTCGGCAAGGTTCTTGACTGTCCTTCTCCAGCCATTGCCCAAGGCCAGGACCATAAAAATAAAGGCAGAGATGGTGTAGGTCATTCACGAGCCTCCTTTCTGCCCTGTGATTAGTTTTTTCTTGCCTTCAGGTTTTATAAAACATTTTTTAAAGCCCTTTCTTTTTCTGTTCAGGGCTCAGATGTGAAGAGGGGGAGCTCTCCGGCATATTCAGTATGTATTACTTTGACTTTCCCTTCTCATTCAGTAGGGTTACGGTCATTTGGTCTCATTTTTATCCTGGCTAGAGAGAGCACAAATGTCAAGAAAGATTAATCTATTCACGTTTTTATGTTTCATAAAAGAACTGTAGGTGGAGGTGGTATAGAAATAGGTTTTTATTTTCCATCAGTTTTTCATGATTATTTGGATTGCAGTTAAGAATTTAAGGATTCTCATTCTGTAAATGAATGACTATTATCTTCATTTTCTTGGAACTCTATATAAAGTAGTACAAATAACTAGCTGTTTGTTAGTTTTAAAAAGTGTAATTAATCTGTCATTAAAAGTTTTGCCTCTGGAAAAATTGATAATTCAATATACTGTTCATTTTTATACCATTCACTTACATATAAAAAATAGGTACCGTTTGGAAAGATCCCTCTGAGCCTATAAATAAAAGATTATGGAAACCTTACAAAATGAAAACTGCATGTGAATGTGCAAGGAGAATGCTAAGCATTTCTGAGAATTGTGATTTAGGAGAGGAGAAGAAAACAGAGAACAGACTGGTTTAAGTCTATAAATATTGAAATTTAGGATGCAGTCATGGAGCAGTGCAGGGGAATAATATTTGTGATCATCTCTATAGTAATTAGTAAAAATGCAGGTGCTCCTGTATATTGGAGTTAACTGAAAGTACTGAATATATCATTAACTAGATGATTGCTGTGCTGTTAGTGGAGATGTGTTGCTTATCAATGTGATGTGAACAGCACCACGATGAGCTGCCACTTATCACGCTGGGTCTCACACATTTCCCTCTGAATGTGTGTGTACACTTGATCTCTCATAGCCATGAAAAAACATCCATCTTGTCAGTTTCCGTATAAGTCTCGTGAATATGTTACGGCCCTTTCCTGTCTATTTACGAGCACTGCCTGACAGCAGTGATGCTACTTTCTGGCCTGGAGTTGTCAGATCTCAGATGCTGAGCAGAACTAGACCAGCTCAGTAGTGGATTGTGATAGATCTAAGGGAACCTAGTTTAAGATACGGTATAATTTTTCTGTCCATCCAAATGGATGGGAATTTGTTTTTGGCATCACCATAAAAGACTACAAAAACAAATAATTAACAAATTTAAATGCACGTTAAAAATAAACATGTTTAAACAAACATTAAAAACATGTCTTAGACATGCAACAATACATATACACACATCACACTGACAATATTACAGTACCATTACACATACTCCAATAGCTCCGTGGAGGAAACTTAGTTGTGTCTAATATACCAGCTGCACAGGGAATAAATGATTTTTTGTATATATTTTTCTTGGACACGGGCATTCTAAAACACCTCCCTGAAGATAGCAGTTGGAAATGGGAATGAAGAGACTGGGAGAGGTCATCAGCAATAAACAGAGCTTTCTTTTCAACTGCAGTATAATGCAGCTCTTTAAGCTGTTTCTATGGTTGACCAATTATTTTACTAGCAAAATTGGGAATCCTGACCAATTTCCCATTACGGTTTATACTCGGGCTACTTTACAATAATGAGATACCAAAAGTAAGGATGCTTTCTACTAGCATCTTATAATCCCTCATGAAATGTTTTCACTCCCCCCAAACATTTTCAGCTTTTGGATCAAAAATATGCCCAGACGACCCTTCTTAAAAATGCAATTAGTATTATCGGCAAAGTTCATCTGTTACTTTGAAATACTAAACAACCTCCACAAGCAGTTTAATAAGGGAGAGAGGTTGAAAGTCTAGTGCATTACTATCCCAAGTAGCCAGGTCTTTGGTTTAATCAACATTAATATGACACTTGCTTGACTGACACCACCATTCCAGTTTATCTATTCAGAGTTATTCTCCACCCCTTTTCTATCATCCCCAGTAAGCAATCTTACCAGTCCTGCTAAAATACGCTAGGGCCATATCATTTGTGTACTTTAATAGAATGACAGAAGTTCCTTACATTTTCATTTCATTCGAACAGATGGGAAAAAATTAGAAGTGACAAAGCACAGCCCCGGGGAACACCAGTATTTGAAACAGTTTTATTTTAAATTATGTTGTTCATAAATGTATTGTTTGCCACTTTAAGTGGTGTCACTTAACCAGTAGGTGGCACACTTGCAACTAGATCATTATTTTCAAACTACTGCCCCACTATGGTGTCAGAAGACCTAAGCTGAAGTTCCGACTACATGGACATGTACGGACTTCACTGTTCTTAAAGATTAAAGTTTTTGGCCCTGGTGTCGTGGTCAAAGTCCTCTCTGAGATAACAGTCTGGGCTACCTAAATTCCACCCTTAATTGATAAAGCAGTTTTTGATTTCTCCAACTGATTTGCTGCTATGTAATGGCTGCCACACATTACCCCGGTGGGTGCTGCATTTTAGTGGGTCCCTCCTGTACATAAAGCTTTTTGAGATGAAAGAAAAAATAAAGTGCCATTATTAACAGTTGGCGAGTGATATCCAGAGCTGTTATAAACCTGTATTGGTAACAAAAATATCTTTTACAGTCTTCTTTACAGCAAATATTAATATAATTTAACGAACAGATCTTGTATCAGTTTGGTACAGAAGTAGGGAGTTTCTGCCCCCCAGATAGTACAGGAACTATTAAACTTGTTTAGATATTGGGCTGAGAAGGTTTAGATTCAAGGACCAAAAAGGGTGGAATTAACATCTGTTGGATTTGACTAGTACAGAATGGAGGGTTTTGATTTTTTTTTCCCCCCTTTTGGACAGTGACCTGACTGTGACAATATAACTATGTAACCTCTGCATGTTAAGCTCATACGAATAATAATAAGTGTCTCGCCATTACCATTTGAATCTCTTCAGTGCCTCATTTGAAACCTTCGTAGTCAATTAAAACAATAATTAAAAGTGCAACTACTTTTTAAGCCAGTGTGACTCTTGCTTCAAAAGCTTGGATGACAAACTTTCAAAGTGTAATAGCAAGGACTCTTGTCCACTGTTCAAGCAGCGTAAGAGCCCCATAATAGCAACTATTTTAGATCTGCAACACTGTGAAATAAGACTGGTCTTCAACTAGACTTCTGGGCCAAAGAATTATTCCTACCGAGCTAAAGGAAGATGTCAATCCATTACTTGAACAGTAGTCTTAACCTTGTAACACAGTTGTAAAAGCTAGATCAAACCCTTTGCTCTCTTCCTAGAAAAAGTGCTGATATTATAAATGGTGACTGTAGCTTGTTACCCAGTTGCACTTCATGTTTGCCGTTTCATTGGCCTGTCCTCCTAGAATTGAGTAAACGAGGCCTCTTTGTTGTTTCGCGTTGTCATTCTTTCCACTAACAAGACCTTGCCAAAGAACCTGAGGTTGTTTAATTCGATATGTTTGAAAGGTTACGGCCCACATCAGCCTACATTGTTTTTGTGAACTCTGTGTGTAGTAATGTTTACGCAATAAATTGTTCTTCCTCCATTGCAGAGCTGTAGATTAGATTATAGTTTTTGAATAGTTCATGTGCATATGGAGAGTTTTGTGGTGTGTATAATGGCCATAGTGTTTTGAAACTCTTTCATCTAGAGCTCGATAGAAATTTAAAACTTATGTATTGGTGAAATACTGTAAAATTGTTTCAAAGTGTGGATTTGGGGTCTTGATTTTTAAATTTTAAGAATGTACATTTTTAAACAAAAAGCAGCATTTATATTATTCCTTTCAACTCGGCACACTTGGAAGGTTGTTATTAACGTACCCTAAGATATGTAAATGGGCCAAATTTGTCCCTGTCACCTTTGCATTGCAGGTATTGTAGTGTACTACTTAATATCTAGCCTTCATTTTATCTGTTCATAAAAAAAATCCTCACATGATTCATTTGCTGACATATTGAAGGTGGATATAAAATACCTTCACCAAACCTAACATTTCCAAATAGAGCCTCTTGGTTGAAGGTAAACATTCCAGATAAGGCATGTCTTTGGTTATTTACTGGGTAAATAATCTTTAACTATAAGACAGTGATAGAACCGGCCTGTTGAAGAGAAGTTAGTACAGGAGGTACATTTTCTTTTAACCACTACAGTCTCTGTGATATTAAGACTGATGAGTGACAAGTTACAAAGACCTGTGTCAAATGGTAATTCTTTAGCATCTTTTAAAAACATAATCACAACAACACCAAATGAACACCATATGAGCAGCCAATATGTAGTGTAGTACAGTAGTATCAATATTATAGAACAGAATCGGTCATTTTGTACTCTATACCAACATACAAAGCTATATAGCACCCTTTCTGTCCTCAAAAATACAGATCCGTCTGGAGTAATGTTCATCTGAACATAGTCTACACGAAGATAGCACCACACGCCTGGATTCAATCCTGTGAGGAATCCAGCACTGTGAGGCAGCAATGCTAACCCCTGTTGTCTTGGAATAGTTGAATTTGAATTGATTAAATTGTTTCTGCAAAAAGAAGAGAAAAAAGAATAAATGAATAAAATCTTGCAATGGAAAATATAAACGTTTTTTTGCCAGTAGTGATTATGTATCCATATCTGAATTTTGGCTGATGTAGGTTTTACATACGAAGACAAATGCACAGATGGAGGAATACGGTAGCACTAAGGCAGTGTTCACACAGGTCCTTGAGACCCTTGAAAGGCATGGAATTAAGTTGCAAATGCAAGGTCTTAAAGGTGTTGGAAAATTGGATGTTTTTATACAGGTGCTTTATGGTACTTACATTTTTCAACTGACATGACAGTCGTGCAGGTGGATTTTAGAGGTTTGTGTAGGAAAATCATTCTTTTCAGCAGAAAGGTGAAGAAACGTGACTAGCGGTTGCTTTAGTTTTCAATAGCGGTGGAGAATGTGAGCAGGATGTTGGCCAAAGGGGTCAAAAGTACGCTGCTGTCTGAAATTCTAATACTTAAATCATCAGTAGAACCTTTTTGGAGTAATTGTATTCAACTACATTATTACCAGGTGTCACTGTGGTAGTGACTGTATATTATATACACCTATCCAGAGATTTGCGAATGCACTTACTGTATTTGGAGAGCTCAGTGGGTTCTGTACCACTCAGTGAATGAGTGAAATTTGTCAAAAATTGTAATATAAGAAAATGAAACGGTGTATTTTAACTCTTCTGTTATTATTTGTGAGGGGAATATTTTACTTTCTGCTACTCTAAAATGAGAGATGCATGCATACATATTTTAATATACGAGGTAAATCCCCTGCTAATATGAGCTCCAGACGTGTAGCTCATTCTTCCATTTTTATTTTGCGGTCATATAGGCTGCCATCGTCTTAACTATCTTGACAGAAATTGTAAGGTATAATACTTATCATGGTGTCGAAAAATATTTTGGAAATATAATATTTATTCAAAAATTTTAATATATACAATGCGGTAGATTATTTGGTTATGCATACTATGGTACCGAGATCACCTAACAGCTTGCCTTACTTTTACAGTGTTATTCTGTCTTTGACTGCACAATTTTCATTAACTATCATGATAAAAATAATTGTTTAGTAAGAAATTTGAATTTGTTCATGTCACATTTTTTTCATGTGTATTTTTAGAGATAATTTTATTTCCACATAAATGGTTTATAATCCTTTCAAACAACAGCTTGCATAAAAAGTAGTTGACAAAATCCACATTTTTCTAACGTATTCTTCATTTACGGTGCCTAATTATTCAAGTGCATCAGAAAAGCATCTAAACCCACCCGTAGGTTATGTCCAGTTACAAGTGCTTGGAACAAATTGAAAAATTCTATATGTATTTTAATGGAAATTCACTGTGACTTTTGTAAGTGTTTGCCTACAGGCAGAAACTTTGGAACCGATTGTGCTTGTATAGTGAGGGAGGTGTGTAATCATCACGCTTACAGTACTGCTGAGTAGTCTCCCAACCACTTTTATGGCACCTTTACGTTCTTAAACTGTGTTTTGTCTCTCTTATGTTAGTAGCCATTAATGAATTTATAGTTTGGGTTTGATGCCTTTTCTTTCTCTGGTCGATTGTAAAAGGTCTTGAAGGAGACGCTTCAAAACTGTTCTTGCCGCCTCCGCACAAATTATTTCTTTGGATTTTTATATCCTAAGATACAGATTGCTTTTTTGCACATGTGTTGCCTTCTGATCCTGTCCAGGATAAGGGCTTTTCCCAGCCTTTATGGAGGGCTTTCGCTGTAAATCACACGGGCTGGTCAAACAGTGGTGGCTGAGAAAGCTCTGTGCTCGTTGACTGGTTAAGACGCGTTTCATTTCATTTTTACGAAAAGAGGCCTCCTGGGCCACACTACTTCTTAGCTACTGAGTTAGCAGGGACAAAGCGCGATTTAAGAAATTGTAAGCTGACATGAAAGTGAAGGGATGACTGTTCAAGTTTGGGCATTAGCCGATACACAAAGAGTAATGAATAAAAACATGTATTTTCCAGGTTGATTTTACTTTGATATCCAACAGTACAACAAGTGGGATGCTTATAGTTTCTCCTCTATATCAGCACCCTCCTCTATAAAGGAGCCTCATTACTAGAGGTGTTACCGTACATGACTGGGGCAGCCAATTACTGAATAAGGGGATAAAGACTCCATTGAGGGTGCAGAGAAAAACTTGGCGAAAAACGACCACTGTATGCATGAAGTCGAGCAGCAATAGTAAAGAAAACATGAAGTGAAACATCCAGCAACTCTAAATACAAAGTCAGAAAGAAAAACAAAGCTTTTAAAGGAAAATAAAAATGCAAATAAAGATCCTTGTCAGCAGAGAGGCTGGGCCTGGTTAGAGCTGATGTGCGGTGAGCGTTCTGGCGCACTATGGCTGCCGTCGCATCATCCAGGTGGGGCTGCACATTGGTGGTGGTAGAGGGGAGACCCCATTACCTGTAAAGCGCTTTGAGTGGAGTGTCCAGAAAAGCGCTATATAAGTGTAAGCAATTATTAATTATTATTATAACTACTGGGATGGGAGACCTCTAAGGAAAATCAGGCTTCTGCTGTTGACCAGCTGGTATAGTGGATCTGCAGGCACAGTAATAGTTTCTATGCATCACTCAGGTGGGTGCTGCACCTCAGTGGCGATGAGGTGGATCTCCTGGTATGTGTGAAGTGCTTTTGGACTCTTTGGGCCGACCATGGCTGTACAAATGTAAATTGCTGTTATTAGTATCATAAAATTGCTTTAAAAAAGTTGTATATAAGGCCCTGGGGGTTCTTTCTGTGTTTGGGTTTTAATTCCAAGAGCCAAGCAAGGTATCTCTAATGAATCCAGCCTGTATTTAAATTGTTTTGTATACTCTGGCTTATGTACTGTATATGTGAGTATTTAAAAAGGAAAAAGATTCATCTTGCTGAAATGCACATAAGGTGCGAATTGTAAACCCACAGACCATTAAGGACACCAAGATTCTCATTAGTATCTTGTTTAAACCTAAAATTAAGAAAGATCTTCTAATGGCAGTTTTACTGCGAAAGTCATTTGTCAATGTGTCCAGCGTACAGAGATGGGGTTTGTAGTGAATAACAAATGTGAACAAACTTATTCGAGTCCTGAAGTGCGTCCTGATATTGCATGGCATGCTAACACAGCACTATACAGCACACAAGATGTAATGGTTTGAAACGTAGCATTCATAGTTTTAAAGTTCAAGTGTTCAAGGAAAGTTAAAGGATTTATCAGAAATGAAACTTAATATTAGTATATACATGTCAAAGACAGCTGTTGTGATAACTTTTGTTATGGGGTTAATGTGTGAAAACATTGTTTGTGAAAAGACATTTTTGTATAAAACATTGAACAATGCTTCCGATAAATAAAATGGCTTACATTATTATTCTGCTTAGGAAAATTGAAATTTCCACATATTTCACTTTGTTATAGTGTAGTATAGATCACAAAGCACAAGCAGCTATTCTGTGTAGGCTATTATCAATATTACTGCCATCTCATCCATGCTCCTACACAGCAGTTGTGTTTAAAGAAAAACTTGCTTTAGTGTGTTTCCTATATTATTAAACGCTCAGAAAAATGAAACAAATGTAAATCAATACTTTGGACAGGAAATTTAAATGATCTTTTCCAGGATTCATACATATACATTGTCTATAACTTTAAATACAATTTTTTTTGGTTGCAATAAATACTACAACAGCTTTATTTTAGTACTGGTGAGTTCATATCAGCATTAGAAACTCCATCAGACAGAATTATATCCTTGCTAATTGTCAGAATGGTCCCTGGAAGTCTTTGAAAGCACTTGGTTTGCTTCTGGAAAAAGCATACAGATCCTCTAAAATGTTGTTTCGTAGTTTTACCATTTAGCATAGTATTGTCTTCAGTGTGAGTAGTGATAATTCTATTCATTTTAGTTTTGCAATGTTAAGTTAGGAATTGTTTTCTTTACACTTTACTTAGGCTCAAGAGGGGTATCCAGTTCATTTGCATGAAGAAGTTACTTTATGAAACTTGTTTTGCTGTAAGAAAAATCAGTTTTAACTCTTAGGTTACTGTAATGTGACCAGATTTGCATCACTTATTGATTTAAATCTCAAACATCAGAATTCAATGTCACCTAAAGCTGGGTAAACTGCTCAACTTCGTGACTAATCTCAGTTACATTAAGTTTTATTTAGATTTGAGCTGATGTTATTTATAGGTTGGTTTTTATAAGCATTCTTACCGAACATTTGACCAAATTGTTTTTTTTTTAAATGACGCAGCGATGTAGGTTTTGTGGAATGTGAATTTCACATTTGCACTTGAGTGTGATGATCAACCTCTTTTATGAGCCAGACCTTTTGTGTTTTCTTATTTTCAGTTTTTGAACATAATTTTATATTTTAGACTCCTGAAAAGAAGCTCTCTGAGTCCTCAAGAGGAAGAAAAAGGAAGGCAGAAAATCAGACAGAAAGCAACCAAGGTGACTCTTTCACACTTCAGTTATCTCTCTTTATATAAATGCCAAATTGTGAGCTAAAATAAAGATGGCAATTTTCTTACTTTCTATTTTCTCTTCTTGTGGGACAGGAAAAGGTGTACGTGGGCCCAAAATCAGTGATTATTTCGATGTAAGTTGTCTGTTTTTTATGATTTAATGTTAAAGTGGGGCTCTCGTGTGTTACACTGGTGAATTTTTTACATTTAAATAATTCTTTGCTTTTTAGGATAAACTGGAAGAATATTAAATATTTATCAATTTATTTTAATATATCTGTTTCAAAAGAAATCTTAAAGTGCTTTATGTTACAAAGTAAACTTTTGAAATCAAAAGTCACATTTGCTGTTCTTGAATCATTGTTACATGAAGGCTTTTTATTTCCTCCATTTGTTCCCATATTTATGTCTTATGAATGTATATTTGTTTGGTTAAACTGTTAAGAGCAGATTTTTTTAAAGATATTTATGAAGTGTTGTAAGAAGGCATGACTTTTAATTTCCTGTTTGCACCAGTATATTCTGTATTCTGTTGATCTGGGTAAGCTGAAAATTGTTTGCATGTTTACACAGAAGCTGAAGGATGAGTGATTCAGGAAACTGAGTTTTGAACAAAACGCAGTGTGCCTTATACACGCAAGCCCCCCCAAAAAATGATTTCCAATTTTGCACAAAGTAGAGGAAGTTGTCATTTGTTTTTTTTCCTTACATCGATCATCTCTGGACAGTTGCAGGGAGGGAATGGATCCAGTCCAGTGAGGGGCGTGCCTCCTGCAATCCGCTCGCCTCAGAACTCGCACTCACATTCCACTCCCGGCTCCAATGTGAGTCCCACCACTCATTCTGCGCTCCTGGGCAGAAGTGAAGTGCTCCATGGGCGCACGTTATAGCAGTGCTGATCAATCCGTTTCTGCCACTGAGACTCGAATTGAGAAATCTAGGATGCCTATGTCTTCTACTTTTTAGACTCATTCCCTACTTCTAAGAATGTCTGATCCATTGTTTTTGGGTACAGATAATGTTTTGGACATACTTTCTGCGTATGAAAAATAAATAATGTAGTATAAATATTTCTAAGTTCTAAGTTGGGGAATAAAGCTGATTTTTTTTCTTTCTCTGGTAATAGAGATTGTTTTTTTTTCAAGTCTATTGAAAGTGTGCTAAATCTATTTCTGTTTTCTTTCAGATTAGACAAAATAGCCCGTCCCCTACTAGTCTGACTTTCGTGGACCATATGGTAGTACATCCAAAACAGTTATCCATAAAATGTGTTCAGGTAATTGGGAACAAAATCACCTTTTAAATATATATTTTTTTAACTTCAGTGTGCAAATGACAGAACGGTTGTAAAAATGTTTTTTATTTCTTTGCAGACGGACCTGACAGTGCTGAAGTTAGCTGCCCTTGAAAGTAATAAGAATTTGGACCTAGAAAAAAAAGAAGGGAGGATAGATGATTTGCTTAGGGTAAGGAAACAATGGTATCTGTTATTAAAAAAAAAATAAAAAAAGCTTGAACTCAATTCAAGAGAGTGTATATTCTGAATTTGTAGAAGATGGAAAAAATGCGTTCTCTAGATCTAGTTTTTGAATAGAAATCATTCATTTTTAAGTATTGGTTCAAAAAAAGGAATTTATTTTGCTGTTACCTTTAAAATTAAGTATTAGAATATTATAAGACTGAAATGGTTGTAAGAAGGATTTTGGCTTGTTTGCTTTGGCTTGAAATGCAAAATTTGTAATGTGTGTTTTAAATTCAGTGCTCAAATTTAAATTTAAATTTCAGCACAGCATTTCAGTGTGTTTAAATTTCAGTAACAAAATAGTTTTTGATGCATGACACATTGCATTTCTGGAATGATGCTCTTAAATTTGTTTTAACATTGTTATCTTTCTCCCACAGGCAAATTGTGATCTCAGGAGACAAATAGACGAACAACAGAAATTACTTGAAAAGTATAAGGAACGCCTAAATAAATGCATCACCATGAGCAAAAAATTGCTGATTGAAAAGGCAGGTGTACTGCTCCTCAAAATTCTTGATTGCACAGCAAACATGAAAACACCGATACAGTGACTGCACATAAGCATTAATACAAAATTGAAAATGCTTCAGAAAATGAGATGGAAAAGATGTTAATTGCTTTAGAGAAACAGAACCCATGTTTAAAAAACGTTTCATTTAGAAAGGAAGATAGCATCCATATTTGTCTTTAACTTGAATGAACATTGAGAAAATTGAAGAAATTGTATATTTTTAATCAACCTAAAAAGCAATGGGTTATGGTATGGTGTAACCTGTGGCATAAGCGGTCTTCATTGGGATTGCACAAAGATTCCAATTAAGTGAAAGTTTTATCAGCCTATAATAATGATAATGTCATTGAGAGGGACCAGAATACCCACTGAAGCAGTACTTTTCTATGGGCTTAATCAACACCTTGAAGAAAACACTAATCTTGAAAGTGGAGGTGGTTTTCAATCTTAGAGCAGTAGTGGGAATTTCAAATCAGTATTTCTTAACAATCGCTAAACTAAGCAGTTTATTTTTTAAAGTATTTTGTAGCTACAAAAGTAAAAATCACTCTGGTCTTACAAAAATGGATCTTTAGTTTACCGCTAGCATCTCCTAATCTAACAGGTAAGCTGTTCACCTGTGTTATTTAACTGTATTATACTTTTCCATCCTGTATGACAGTTTGGACAGAGGTGCTGATGGTATACCATAGTAGTGAGCCATTTCCCCCCCCTATTTCCTTTCTAACGAATCCTGCTTGGAACCCAGGAGTGTCCAGACCTTGTCCTGGAGGGCTGGGGTGTCTTTGAGTGTTCTAGACATTTTTACAGCACTAGTAACAGCTGGTAAAGTTTAATTAATCCAAGTAAGTCAGTACTGAGCTGCTTTAGGTAAAGAGCTGAGCTGGGAAGAAAACGTGAAGATATACCAAGAGACACCTCTTTTCTGACCACTTTTCCTGTGCTACATTTCTTTCATGGAGTAACAGTAGTGCAACCACAGTTGAGCCTACGCTATAAGGCTGACAACTGATCTGGTTCATGACCTCTACTTCCACAGACATTTTTGTTTTATCCTGTCCTAAGGAATTATTATTTGTAGTGAAAACTCGGTACAGGACCAAAGTAATGCTTCATGTATTAACTTTGTTTACAGATTAGTTTATTTTTCCTTTTCTTGGAATAGCTGGTAAATTTAAATTACTCCACTCTCTTTTTCAGAGTACGCAGGAAAAGCAGGCATGTAGGGAGAAGAGTATGCAGGACAGGTTGCGACTTGGCCATTTCACCACAGTCCGGCATGGGGCTTCGTTCACAGAGCAGTGGACAGATGGCTTTGCCTTTCAAAATCTTGTAAAGTGAGTGCTGCCATTTTCCAAACGTGACTAATATGTTTTGTTATAAGTGCCATAGAAATGCTAAAAATTATTGATATATTTCATTGAAAGATGTATTTTCTGTAAAGTTCTGTACACATTTTGTAAAGAAAAGTCAGTTCTGAAGGTGTTAGTTTTCAGGCATTTTATTCCACATACTACCTTCATAGACAATAATGAAAATGCGCTAGTTTAAAGGATCCTTTTAATTGCTGCATGTCTCTGCAAAAATAAAGCTTAAGCAGCAGTCACTTTAGACATTGTGAAAATTTGCAAATGTCACTTGCCTTGCCACTTAAACATTAAAGTGAGGATAATGCTGAGTCTAGTGGTTTTTCTGAGAATGAATCTTGTCTATCCTGACTTTTTCTCTTTGCTTTCCTATGTCAGAAATAAGTAAAAATGTTACTAAGCATTTTACTTTAGCACACTTTTAGGTGATATCTAGCACTTGATTGTTTGTGTCTTCCTGATTTAATATCGTAAGTGTAGCATGTGTATGTACTAACACATGAAATAACAGTACTTAAAATAGATAAGAATAACAATTCATATATGTACCTGACTTCTGGAAGTCCCAGGATAAATCTTATTATTATCATGTTCATAGACTATTAAAATCTGCACCGTGTAGAGTTATGGTTGGTCAAAGTAACATTAGGATTGAAATTGTTTCCCAGGCAACAGGAATGGATAAATCAACAGAGAGAGGAAATTGAAAGGCAGAGAAAGCTATTAGCCAAGAGGAAACCTCCAACGACAAACAACTCTCAGACCCCAACCACAAATTCTGAGCCAAAGCAGAGGAAGACCAAGGCAGTGAATGGTGCAGAGAACGATCCTTTCCTCAAACCCAGCCTACCTCAGCTGTAAGCACTGTTTCTGGTGTTATTGATGTTGCGGTTCTAATGAACCTTAAGCTTTCTTTGTTACACGTATCACAATGTCCTTGAGGGTAATTAGAAGGTAAAGTTCTTGGCACTAAAATTCTTTCACAGGTTTTGGACAAAAATATTGGAAACGCCAGCATGTGTAACATAACGGGGCATTGTGCCAGTATGGTGTGTACGCAGCCTGAAATGGTCTACCGGCGTCCAAAATTCTGCAGGAGGGGTGTGGCGCCAGTCTTTCACAAGAAAGTCAATTAACTTGCTTGATGGAGGTGGAAGACACTTGTCTCTGGCATCTTTCCAGAATATTGTATTAACATTTTATTGGGTACATATCTGATGGCTGAGAAGGCCCTGACGTATGGATAACATCAGTGTCACGCTCATCAAACTACTGGGCCACCGTACATGCACTGCCTATGGGGGCAATGTCACCCCTCCTGGCTGGAAAGAAATGCTACAACATGGAGTAAAGATGATCACTCAGTATGTTTAAATAGGGATTAGCATTGACCTTGCCTTCTTAGAGAGTGAATGCACCCAAACCAAGCCAGGAAAATGTGTCCCACAACATTATGGGACTACCAGAATCCCTCACAGTTGCAGTCAAGCACTCTCACAGTGCTGTAGAGATGATGAGATGCATTTGTCTGTCTGTGAAGTAAATGCAGGAGGATGAGTCGTTTTATTCATCCCATTTCGTCATGACCTGCTCGTGAGTCCAGTGCCTGTGCTCTTTGTGCCACTGGACTTGCAAGCACACGCTGTCGTGTTGGTGGGTGGATCCTGTACTACAACCCGACTGCGGTATCCCGTTCTATCAAGTTCTTGGCGTATTGTCTCTGATGCAACATGCCACTCCCATATCCCATAGTGGCTCTGTGGCTAAGCATCTGAGCCTGTGGCTGGAAAGTTGACGGTTCAAATCCCGCGGCTGGTGGAGGAATCCTACTCTGTTGGGCCCCTGAGCAAGGCCCTTAACCCCAGCTGTTCCAGGGGTGCCATATAAATGGCTGACCCTGCGCTCTGACCCCAAGCTTCTCTCTCCCCGTCTGTGTGCCCGTGTGTCTGCTGGAGAGCAAGCTGGGATATGCGAAAAGACAAATTCCTAAAGCAAGAAATTGTATATGGCCAATTAAGTGATCTTGTCTTATCATTAATGGTTAAGATAAAACAATGTAATTCCGCTCTTTCTTGAAAAGCGCCTATAATAGTAAAGTACTGTTTTATTATTGTGTATTTTATTAATGTTTTTCCCATTCTATGTTTTTATTTTCTCTTTAAAGGTTGACAGTAGCTGAGTACCACGAACAGGAAGAAATCTTCAAACTCAGACTAGGTCATCTCAAAAAGGTCAGAATCCAGCAAGTGTTAATATTGTATTGATTGGTGACGTTTCATATAAACACAGTCCTAGAATCCAGAAAACAAAAGCTTCCATTTCCTTGAAACTGTGAAACTTCTTTGTAAAAGGTTTCTTTCATCCTGTGCTAAGAATTCATTGTTTTGTCCTCTTTAAATAACTATTTTATAGAAATTCTATTTTTTCTAAATCACTTAAAGGACAGCCCCAGTCAATAGCTGTCGGGTGAACCATTAAGATGTGTGAAGATTAGTTTTTGATGAATGGCCTCATATTGTGGTTGTTAGTAAGCGCTTTCTGTTTCCAAATTTTAGGAAGAAGCTGAAATCCAAGCTGAACTTGAACGTCTTGAGAGAGTCCGCAATCTTCATATACGGGAATTGAAAAGAATAAATAATGAAGATAATTCCCAGTAAGTCACAAAGTGTTTCGCTTACAGTTTGAGTGTCTGAGTTATGCATACATTTCACTGCTGAAGAAATATTCTCTTTTGATATTACAGATTTTTTTAAAAAAATGCTTATTACATCAAATTACTTTTCAGCTCTGTCATTTTTTAAAATAAAAGCAGCGTTCTTGAATTTTGTGAGATCATGGTAAGTAGGTAACAATGTTCAAAATTATTGACTAGTTTCTGATGGGTTCCTATCATCTTTCACTTCTATCATTGTAGGTTGTTTAAATCCATATTAAAACCTGCTACATGTCCGTGCCTCTTTCCAATTTTAAAGCGGTGCACAAAAAGTTTTTTTTGGGTCCCAGTTAATAATTAGGTGAACCCTTTATAATGATATACAATAGGGTGTTGTGAAAGCATGCTTGATTTCTTCTTCGAGTCTAATTTAGGAGGGTGAAAGTGATATGGAAGCTCTTGAGGAGCTCAAGCTGCAGAGGCACTCAACCGGAGTGGAACATGAGCTTTGTGGCACATCCATTGTCAGTCTGAGTCATTAGTCGACTGTGACCAGGATTTCCCAATTGGTGGCCAGTCAGTCACAAGAGAGCAGCATGACTCAGAACTCTTTCTACTCTAGGCCCTGGGGGAATCGCTGTGAAACATGGGCGTTTCCAGCATGGGGTCATGGCAGTAACGCCAAGGTGTTTCACAATTTGGAAGAGATGTAAAGAAAAATTAGGAGATTTCATTTTTTTTATGCAGCTTGCTAATGGTGCTTAATTACTTTCATGACTGAAAAGGCTAATGGGCAGTAGTTTCATAATGACTGATTGGTTGAAGTAGAATCCTTTTTAGAACTAATTTGTCAAAAAGATGGGTAGAGCAAGAATTAAAAAAAAAATGCACAAGTAAATCCATGCCATTCTTGTTTTTAAGGTTTAAGGATCATCCCACTTTGAACGAGAGGTATCTATTATTGCATCTTCTGGGAAGAGGAGGCTTTAGTGAAGTATATAAGGTATGCTGACTTAGAACCGTCATGTTGAATTAAATCTTTTTTCTAAATTTAAGAGGTCATGTGACAGTATTAATGGAAATTTTGTTTATACTTCTATTAAAAGTGCCATATCTATTGAATCATTTATTTTTTTTAGAAAAAACAAGTTTCACAAGCCTAGGTTAATGGGGAAGTATCTGTTTTTAAAATTAAATGTATTTTTAAAAATCGGTTTGAGTAAATTTCCATTTGTTCATTGGTGCTGCTTTAAAGGGGAACTTCAGTCCCCGTTTCTCAGGCTGGTTATTAAATCTTGGTAACAAAATGAATAAATTGACGGCCTCGCAAAATTTGACAAATTCCGAATTATGCACAAAATTGTTCCCACGGAAATGTTCTAACCTCATGTGCATGCCGAGTTAACAAGCAAGTAGTATTTGTTGGCAAAACCGTCTCAAAATCGAGGGCAATATATCTATCGGGTTAAGAGAGATGTGTGCTGCTTTACAATACGGTTGCATAATGGTCACCACACGTTTTGTTGCCTCGTTCTGAATCCCAGAATATGCTGCTGTGCGTACCTGGAAATTTCAGCGGTTTTGTGATGTAAACTGGAGGTTTTACTTGTTACTGTGTACATTTGTCTTTCATTGTAGTTTGAAATGCACCTGTCAAAGCCAATTCTTTTAACCGCGAAATAAAAAAAATAGTGTTGCAGTTCCCCTTTCACGTGCACAAATTTAGTTTGTAGCCTTTAGATCCAATCCTAGACCACAAAGTACTGTAACGTGACTCATCAGGGTGGGCAGAAACTTTAGGGTGTTTGGATGAGAAGCAGCAGAGGCAATGTAAGAAAGCAGTCATTCCCTCTGTCCATTTCTGCTCTGATGCCTAATAAGACTTCCCATCTTGTTCTTCAGACACCTTGTATGTAGTAGCATCTGTCAGGCGCATCGTGTGAGACTCCTTTGAAGCGCATCGTAATATCCATTTTCTGATTAAGCTATGAAATCTTTTTCTTGACACCCCCTTTTCACTAGGCCTTTGACCTGTTTGAACAACGGTACGCCGCAGTGAAGATCCATCAACTCAATAAAAACTGGAGAGAAGAGAAAAAGGAAAACTATCACAAGTATGTCGCTCTGCGGCGATGTTTCAACAGATCCTTGCAATAGATTTAGCGGTGACATGGGCCTACAAACACCTTTATGAAATCTTCATGAGATAACATGCATAAAAACCGCATAGTTAGTAAAGTTCCACACACGCATGCTGGGACCACAGCTACTGAACTGCCTGTGTCTTAAATGTCAGTTCTCCAGTACATGGAGTTCTGTTCTGTGCCTCATTGTGAACCCTAACACATAATTGTGCCCCCACAATAATATTTTCACTAATTATTGAAAAGGTTTATGTGGGTTGTTATATTATGTAACAGTGTTTATGAAAGTGTTATAATGGTGTTACACAATTCTTTTCAAAGAAAACATTGCAGATGATATCTTTCTGAGTATAACTTATGAATGTAAAAAATACTTGGGTGTTGTAAAAACCATAGCATTTACTATATATTTTGCTACACATTTACTTTATAAAGAATAAATGTCCTAGGCTACATTGTACACCTTTTTGGTCCTTTACATTTTATTCTCATTATTGTAGCTTTTGTTGTTTTTTCTGTCCTGTTTTGTTGTTTTTAATGGTTCCTGTTTTGAATAGCCCTGTCTTGAAACCTACGCTGGTTATATTATGATCTCACCGTATAGCTTGCTGTTGGGGCCCTGAGTAACATGGTTGTGTTCACATTTCAGACATGCCTGTCGGGAATATAGAATTCACAAGGAGTTAGATCATCCTAGAATAGTGAAGTTGTATGACTATTTCTCTCTGGACACTGACACGTAAGTAATGTGTAGTAGTCTAAGCAATTATTATTTTTAGAATTATTGCCTTTTCATTTGTTTTTGCTGGTGTTGATGTAGTAGCCAGTCTTTTTTAGAATCAGTGCTTTTGGGGATTTTGAAAAAAGCAATATTACAATTATTGTTAAAGCATATAAATTGTCTGTACTCATTATTTAGTAAAAAAAAGTCGACTAGGTGACTTTTACCTTTGTAGCACTTTGTATGCCTGTAGCTCAGTTTTTGAGTACATTTATGTGAATTTTGTAGCTCAGACTTTTTAGAGATCAAGTTTGCAAGTTTAAAGTCAAAGTTTCTTTGTAGCTGATCAGTGTTTTCCATCTGCAGGTTTTGTACAGTGTTAGAATACTGTGAAGGCAATGACTTAGACTTCTACTTGAAACAGCATAAGCTAATGTCTGAGAAAGAAGCCAGATCAATTGTCATGCAGATTGTGAATGCACTACGATACCTGAATGAAATCAAGCCACCTATCATACACTATGATCTTAAGCCAGGTACGTACAAGTGGGAACTTTTTTTTTCCTGTCTGAACCAAATAAACCATAGGACAGGTTAATAGTAATACAGTGTTTCTATTCAATAGTAGTTTTTCTGAGTGCAAGTCACTAGACTATTTTGGTGTTGGGGTGTCACTTGGTACTCTGGGCTGTACTCAAGTGTGCAAATGTCCTTGTATTGTATTAGATGTGTCATCACTTAACATCAGTTCGAAAGTATTGATCTGCATTTGATAAAAAACAGCTTATCTATGTGCCACTCCCAACACCCAGTTTTCCTTGATATTTATGTTCGTATTAATACTGGATTCTTCTTAAAAGGTAACATCCTGCTTGTTGATGGGACAGCCTGTGGCGAGATCAAAATTACAGACTTTGGTCTATCCAAAATCATGGACGACGATAATTATGGTGTAGATGGGATGGATTTAACATCACAAGGAGCTGGCACCTACTGGTAAAGATATGAGACTGCATTCCAAAAAGCACTGATAATAAGTATTGGGCAAAAGCTACTACCGGTATCTGTATTAAAGGCTGACTTGTAGGTCAGCAGAGCTCGAGCCACTGTGTGTTGACCGAGTGTTGATTATGGACACAGCCAGACTGGGGGAGAAAAGGGTTTTGGGGGGATGCTCTGAAGTTAGTGAAGGCCCCCTGTGGTCTCCATGCCCTCCTGTACTAGAAAGTCTTTACTTGCAAGCACGATCACATGTTCAGGGAGCATCTCCAGCTTTTTTCAGATATAGGGTCTCTCTAACTCTGTGTAGTTTAGAAGCTGTTGTAGTGTTTTACTTATATTCTTTCTGTGTAAACTGGGACTTTTATATGATATGGTGGCATTTTGCATGCATTGTTAAAGAATGATGATTGTGTAAATTCACTTAGGAGCATTGCTGTATTGCTAAATGAGAGCATTCACTTTTTTTAAATACAAGCATCTGAACAAGCTGATGGTTTTCTATGTAATAATGAAAATGAATTATGTTTTTAGGTACCTGCCCCCTGAGTGTTTTGTAGTTGGCAAGGAACCTCCCAAGATCTCCAACAAGGTTGATGTGTGGTCTGTCGGAGTCATTTTTTTCCAGTGTCTGTATGGAAGAAAGGTATTTGGAACTTTGCTAATGTTCTTGAAACAGCATTTTTGATTAAGTGTATTTCAAATACCTGACACATTTTTGTGCTTTTCTTTCAGCCATTTGGCCACAACCAGTCTCAGCAGGATATCTTGCAGGAAAACACAATATTAAAAGCTACTGAAGTTCAGTTTCCGGTCAAGCCAGTTGTTAGCAGTGAAGCAAAGGTGAAGTGTTTTAATTTGATGTTTGTTTTAATTATGACCTTTCTACTTGTTACATATACACACTAAAGATAATTAATCAGTGAAGACTGTTACTTCAAGATTATAATCTACCGTGGTGTATGTATCCCAATTACTACAATGCCAAATGTCACTTTTTCTAAACACTAGACGTTTAGTGTTAAAACTAATTAAGTTTGTGAATTACCATTATTTTAATATAAGTTTACAGTAAATCGTATTTAAGTGAAGTGTTATTTTAAGAACTACAAACAGCAGATTAAGCCAAGGTCAATGTGCTGATACTGACTTCTTTCAGTCTGCTTTATTTTGTGCCTGTGCTGACATCTAGTGGATAAAGGGCATGTGAATGTGCACCACATTTATATGTACTGTAATCATCCAAAAACGCTACAGAGGATATGCCATAGTTTACCCTCTAATACATCTGATTTTAATTTGAGAGTAGTGGCTGAGTTGCCATTTTCTGTACTGTAGTTTTGTATGAAGGGCTGAAATGAGCTGGTAACAAACTAGGACAAGGGGTGCTGCATATTCAAGATGCGGATGGTCTCTCAAACTGCATGAAATTGTCTACTTTTAAGGAGACCATTTGATTCATATTGCTCTTGCATCTTGCTGGCTAGTAGTTAATGGAAGCTGCGCCTTGCAGTTTTGTTTAATGATGAAAGGTGTTCATATTTCATTTCCATCTTTGTTCCAGGCCTTTATAAGACGTTGCTTGGCATACCGAAAGGAGGATCGGTTTGACGTTCACCAGCTGGCTAGTGATTCCTACCTTCTTCCTCACATGAGGAGATCAAATTCTTCAGGGAATTTGCACATGGGAGGCTCAGGTCCTCCTGTGCCTCCCTCTTCGAGCATTATTTCCTACTGAGGATCTCTCCTGGCGACTGAAGTCTGGTGTGATGTTCTGAGCAGCTTTCTCCTGCTGGACGTGGGAGTACGTGTAGGAAAAGAGTCGCCTGTGCGTGTTTGAAATGTCTGGGGCCCCGGCAGTAGTTTTGGGATTTGAGAAGAATGGGACTGCACTAGCCCCCTGCTTGTACTGCACTGAGGTGGATTCAGGTGACTCCACAGAAGAGGGGGAAGGGGGCGACATTGGTTTCAAAGCTGAGGACGTTTCGCAGGTAAAGAACTCTAGAGCACTGCGATAAAAACAGCCTGACATGGGACTAGTAACTTGAATTCTGTTGCTGGTTGGTTGAACAGTGCCGGATATGGCACAAAAACTTGACACAGGAGGCAAAAGGGAGAAGTGGCAGTCTGCAGTTTAGATTAAGTGAAATTAAGCCTGCCTGGACATGAATGATAGAACTGCTAGAGTTTATTTAATGAACTGTTGTCCCGTAGTTTTGACTGCATAATTCTAGTTCAGTAGCATTTCCTTTAACATCATGGCGGTTGTGTTCTTGTTGGTTTCTAACAAAAGCACTTGCTTTTAGTTTGTATTCTTGGGTTTCAGCCATTAAATAGCCATGGGACTTACCTGATAAAATGTGAGTGAGCAGGTTACAGCTGGCATTATTTATGCCCAGGCAGAATCATATTTGCAGAATGCACAGAAAGTAACCAAATGTTGACAAACAGCAATGTACAGTATCCTATGCAGGATGATTTTAAAAATCCCTCTTAGAAAACAACAATTGTATATTTATTGTACAGATTTCAATTTCAGTTATTCTTAAATTTCAGCAGTTAAATTCTGTACAAAGTGTTAAAAAGAAATCTGCTTTTTTTTCTTACTGGAAATTCTTTTTTATGTCTCCTGGATTATTTTCATTTGCTGCTATTGATGTTGCTTTTATTTTTAATAAAGCAGGCTGTATGATCTACTTGAGGTACAAATTGTACAGTTAAAAAAAATAACAAAACCAAGGCATGTTATAACTGATTTATTAGGGGACAATTCTTAAAAAGTAAGAGGCCATTGTGCTTTTTGGCAAATAGGCTGTTTAGGTGTCTGTCCTAGGTGATCATTCCCTTAGAGGTGGCGATATCCAGCTGCCTGCTGGGAAATTATGCTGTAGTTTAAAGTGTCTTGTATGGCACCTCTTCAGTCTGGCACTAATAAAGTTTAGTACTTTTTCTTCTTAATCTGCTAAGAAGCCATTGCTGTGAAATTACAAAGAATGCCTTGTCCAGCACAATCCAGTAACTCTGTACATGGTAAATCTGTTCTGTACATTATCCTCGTCGATGTCATGTCCATGATACTGAATGAGTGCTTGTTTGTAATTTCTGCAAAGGTGATCCTGTTGCTGCAGGGTTCACTTTAATGTTCAGAAGATAAGCTTTTGCTAATGTTTTTGATGTTGCAAGCTTTTTTTTCCACTGTACATACAAACAGAATAACTGTCTCTGAAGGTGCTGCTGAAATTGTAGAGAATGTAGCCAAAAGAGTAATAAACATTAAAAAAAATTGATTTTAATACATCATTGCTTCATGTGTTTTTGGATACTAAGTTGATTTTACTGTGGGGTGTGAAGGGTAATTTCAGAATTTCAGAATTTCAGGAGCAAGAGTTTTGAGACAACAGTAATGCTTTTTTATACTGTGTAGGTTTTTAAGATTGGGCGTGAAAAAATAATGAAGACCTGGAAGAATTTTATATTCACTTGGGCCAAATAGTCTTTTGCACTGTACAAGCAGTTTTTGGCTTGTGTGTCTTGGGATCATGTGCAAATGAAGATTGAATTGAATGGTTCTTGTAGGTTTTACTTGTATTGTTCTGAACCTATGAGCACTTAGAACATAAAGAAATAACATCACCATAGCCAGATATGCACCTTGTTACTTTAAGATATATTGTGAGTGGGCTAAGTTGGTTTTAATTTACAAATAAAATTGAAGTCACTGCATTAAACATGACCCTTTAAACAGCTTTTTTGCAAAGGTTTGATTTCTTAATACCCTGACACCTGTGAGTTTTATACCATAACATTTCTGTATATGTTTTCGTTGTTTTGTGCCACCCTTGAACCAGTCCCCATTTGTCATCACAACAATACTGGTGTTTTTTTCTAATTGACATTAACATTAATCATATACTACTGTATTAACATTCCAAATGTGCTGGTTAGAACAGCTAGTTATTAAAAACAAGAAACTATTTTATTGCATTGTCTGCTTGTCCACAAGGTGGCATATTGCTTTAGTTCAGTATTCCTACTAATGTCCCATGTTAACACCAGACAGGGTGTGTGCCCAACAGACATTTTGATCTCTAGGAATGAAAAGGTGAACTTGAAACTGTTTTGCAGTGCTGAATGAGATAAAAGGTTTTTCAAATCCGAGTTTTATCTCCTAATGTTTCAGCATAATTTACATACCTAAACTGCATAATTATTGCATATAACTGGTCATATAAGAGTGTGTATAAGGTGATACGAAATGAGGGGATACTTGTACAGTGTTGAATCTTTCAGTGTAATATTAAATAGAAAATGTGGTCTTAGAGGCTGTGCACAGTTTTAATTATATTACTTATGAAATGTAAAAAGCTTTTTTTTCATCATTATGGCTGTCTTCCAATATTGTAAATGGTTTTTAGGACTATGTTTTTCTTCTCAGGGAGCACTAAAATGTAATGACTTACTCACATGAAGATTTAGTCCATCATCTTGAACTCTGCAGAATAATTTCTTCATAGGTGGCCAATAAATCAGTTCCCTGGGTTTTTGGAATTAAATAAATTGAATTTATTAATCTATTCTGTTTTGTAAGAGGCTGAAGTCCTTTTAAGTATGTTTAATTCAGATGACACCATAAAGAACTGGACTGCAAGAGTATGCAGTAAAGTTCAACATTGTTTAAAAAAAGAGCTCAAAATTCAACCCAGTGGGTTTATTCAGAATTAACAATGAAACATAAAACAGAGAACACAATGTGGATAAAGCATTTAAAACCAAAAACAGGAGGCTCTCCTTTATGTAAAGGGTTGTGGGAGTATGGAACAAGCTACCTTGATTCAAGGACTTCATCCAGGTATTTCTTGAAATAGATCAATTAGCTACTGGTAGATGTGCTGAAAGGCCTCCTCTTATTTGTAATCTTTGTGTTGCGTGAATTTAAGTTATTAAATGGTCCAGAAGCCTTAAAAAACAACGTCTGTGTTTTTTTAGTCAATTGCACTATGTATTATTCAAGTGGCATATTTTGTGCAGGAAGGTTAATTCCTTTGTCTTAAGGCAAAGTGCATTTGTAAATGCCTACTGCAGTATTACTTCAGAATAATGCAAACAATTACAGAATGTTTGGCTTTTTTTGTGTTAACTCTACCATTGAATGCAGAGAATGAAGAACTTTTATATTTAGTGCTGATTTCAAACTCAAATTGTGATCAGTTGTGTTCGCAGCTATACTGACAGGTAAAATATTTTTAATGACCTTAAAATGGCTTTTCTTGTCCTTATAGGCTACTGTGGGATAATTACTGAACATGATCAAAAAATGAAAAAGAAAATGAAAAGGGAGGAAAGTCTTTTCCTCTATAAATGTCGTCACATCAGTTGATATTTAAACCTGTATAGCAGGTGGTTAGGACCATTTACAATATCAAAGCAGCTAACTCAAAATGAAAGCTTTTGTATATTCTAGTTCTATGTTTTATCTATGCTTATTTTTTTAAGCTGTTGACCAAACTCCTTGTCTATGAACTGATTTGTAATGTTATTAGAGTGCTCAGTGTTGCCAAGGTAAGCTTTTGATTTACTACTCTAGATCAGTGGATTCCTACCTGTCTGTAGGGATCCTATAAAGATATGCTGACTGACTGCCACAGTTAGTATGTGTTGAGGAATTGTCTGAAATCACAGTTACAGCATGAGGGACAGGGTATTGCGGATGCCACCTTGATGGGCAAAAACAAAAGATGTGTCTAATTGCAAGCATTTGACACGGAGGAAGTGTTTCAGGTATCCGCTCTGTAAATCCAGTATTAGCACAGGTGCTAAAAACAGGATTTTTTTATCAGCAGATACCAGGAACAAAGAGCAAACGTCATCCTTACATGCGAGAGCAGGTCTCAAGTAAATAAGAGAACCCTTTCTGCTGAACATTTCTCTTCGCTTCTTTGGTAAGGCGTCTTGAGGCCAAGTGCCATATTTTGTTATTAATCATTTTTGTGTTATGTTCTCTTAGGTTGAAGATGGAGAAAAATCACTATTTTAGGAGCTCACAGGGTGTAGTTTTAAAACCCTCTGCCACTACGCATGTCAGAAGATGGAAACGACCGGACTGGATTTGAAAGACGTGCTCAATTAACCCTCCCCCCCCTTCGGTAGAAAAGAGCTCTGATGAACAGCCCGAGATCAATGTGCAAGGCTCTGAAGGTGATGCCTTTAAGCAGTGGGACTCCCGAGCTGAGCTGCAGAATCACCGAGCTGCAGCTGTGAGTGCAGAATCGCTGGCGACCACCGCGCTGATGTCCGTCTGGTTTCTTGTCCGACGAAGGCCTTTGCTGACGGGGCCCATCACCATGTTTGTCTCCCCCCCGGAGCTGCTGCCACCAGCAGCCCTCTCACAGGAGGAGCCTAACGGCTTACGAGGCTGGAAACGGACGTTGTGGGGAGTTATCATCAACCACAGCTACTGTCCATCAAAAGCAAGCATATTCAGAAAACGTTTTTATGGATTTATTCATTAAAACACTTTGAAGATTCTAAGTTAATTTTAATTTGCAATGCAAGTTCTCAGATATTGCTATTTTAGAGATGGAGATTTCCAGCAGCTCAGAATATAATACTAATTTTGACCCTGTACCCAGTACATATTAAGTTCTGACAAATTCTCCATACCAGACCTACAAGACCAGTAAAGGTCACATTGACAAAAATGGCTAATTTGTTATACTGTATCTACATTTCTGCATGATTATATGTGCTCAAACAGACAACGGAAATACATACATTTGGATTATTTATCTAAATGCAAGCACAGAAGAAAACAGAGGGAAAAACAAAGTATCTGTCATCTGAGTTTCTGACTTACCTTGGTTTTTTTACTCAATGTTTGGATGTTTTCGTCACAAAAACCTTCTCTTGGGATGATGCCCCCTCCACACTTCTTGATGGCTTAGGAAAATAGAAGAAAAGAAGGGGTTTGCTTCTAATATAAAACAAAGAAATTCACATTCTCCCAGAGACAAAAGCTAAGCATGCAGGGATATTAAAGAAATCGTACAAGAAATCAACAAAGTTGAGACAATATATAATGAAAAACAGAATAATACTATCTATAATCCACTTTTTAAATTCATTTATTAATCTTTAAATCTGAAAACAAAAATATAAAAATACAAATTAAATGCTAACATTCCTCATTTCTAATAGATTGATGCTGCGTATCTATATCAAGAGCAGTGTGGAGTTGACGTACTTTGTGTGCATACCTTCTGTGTTGGTGGCTTAAAAGCAATCCTGAATGTTGATACAGGAATAAATCTGACTTAACATTTCAGACTTCCTTTTCCATCGCAATGACATACCGTCTTGCCCACATCCATCCGAGTCGCTCCTCTGAGGCCTGGGAGACACGGGAATGGACTGTGTGGTGGAGCTTTGGCGCCCAGGAAACTCATCCACAGCCTGGAAGAAAGAAACACAACTCTGCGGTCAGGGAAGCTAGCAGTGTATAAGGGACTGCGGCCGTAAGAAGAAATCTTTGGGGCTTGCATTAGTCGGGTCTGGCTCTAGTTTCTATGGCGAATCGGTTCAGTTCAATGATAAAAAGGGGGGAAAAAACTACATTGAACGGAATGGCAGGAGACAGTCCAGAGAAACTATACAGGAGGACTTTGCTGTGACTGGACAGACGCTGAGAGGTTGTTTTTGAACAAAGTGGCTAAAAAGCGTGCTGTACCATTTCCTGCGCAGTGTGAGTTTTTCAGGGGTGTCTGTGGTCACCTGGAGGGTATTAAGGGTGGGTAAGGCTAAGAGTGGGAGCCCTGAGATGCAGGTTTGGATGGGAAAGACTGTCCCTCCTGTAGCTGGATGAGGAGCCACACACACCCACAAAACAGCAGAGAACAGGAAAAGTAAGGTAGTTTTCCTTATTGTAACCTATGCCATCCATACATGAATATCTAGAATGATATTTTTTAGAACTAACAATACAGTATTATCTAATAAACAACACAGGACGTCCTGGAATTAGCAGGGAAGGTTTCATTTAAAATCCTAAAACTATTTCCAGAACTGAAAGAAATACCTGCTGTGCGCACAGCCTTGGAACTGGTTAAATACCATCTGTTTCTTTAAAATAAGTGTTTGTTGTCAAAATGCTAGCAATGTTTGGAACATATTTTGAGGCATATAAATGAGACAGAGCATTTTTAATAGGTAGCCTACAGGAAGTTACACAATAGGGAAGCGAATTACCAGTGCTGCATTGCCTCATGATTTATTGTTCAGAATTCTCATCAGAACAATTCCAAAAATAACAGACCATGAGTATTTTTTAAACTGGCTGTGAATTTATAGCATGCAAAGAGAGAATAGTTTTTAGTTTGATGCCTAAAGTGAACAGTATGTCCTGAACGGTACAATAGTGTAATATTATCTCATCACTCTTACTCCAGCAAAGATGTTGGGATAGTGTCTGACGCAAAGTATGTACAACAACAGGCAATGACCAATTTACTAAAATATAATAAAATGAATTGCCAATATGATGCCTTGTAGCTTTGTACTATACACTTTCACAGGGAGACCAGTTAAGGTTTTAATATATGAGCTGACACATTTCGTCTTAGTGCTCATTGAGTCCTTTACAGAAGAAGATGTCACCCTCCCCTTGAAACCTAGGTACTGTAGAAGACTTTTCTGGGAGGAGACCTGTTCTGTTGGGGTAGCAGTGTGGTAAATCCCCCCCCCCCACACACCTTTCATCCTCTCTCCACTGCCCCAGGAGAGTGGTGCTTCACTAGACACGGCTTCATAACTGCTCAGACATAGCAAGGAACTCATGGTCTCATCAAGGACTGGTACAAAACAATTCGAATTCCAATTGCACAAAGAACTTCCAGTTACTTTCTTAAGGTTAGAAAAATGTCTGTTGGTATAAATTAAGGGGATACATATTACATTTAACATATCTAAAATATCTAATATTTTTTCTGGCCTGAAATCCTGATGAAAAAGACTTATAATAATTTAAAAAGTGCCCTTCTATTGCTAGACTCACTTCTACTTCAGACAAGTGGAACTTGAAGTACGCTTCCACTAATACATTGTATAAAAAGAAACGCTCTTTTAACATTAAACTGCTATAAGGCAACTAGTGGTCAGACAGTAATTGCTCACAAGGGATTCCTGCTGTTGAGACCAACAGCTTTTGTTGATTAACTTTTGAAACACAATGATCACATAGCTACACAGATCATCCTTACAAGGTTAAGCATGGCATCTGTTTCTTAAGAATCACTTGGGAGAACCTTTCTCCATGTTTCATGTTCAAGCTCTGCCCAATCTGCCCAAGAGATGTGAAAAAGGAGTCCCTTTTTGGAATCCCTGAGGTTGTATCTTGGGATTTTCGTGGAAGTGTCTTTGCCTCAGCGTGTGTTTGGGGGGAGTACAAACCTGGCAAGAGGAGAGGGTGAGAGAGGAGGAAGAATGGCGGTAGGAGCTGTAGGCCGTGTTACTATGACAACTGGTGGAGACAGGGCCTCTGCAAGCAAAACACTTGTTCTTCAGCTCTGCAATCAATCTGCTCTGAGCTTCTACGGTTCTCTGTAAACTGACAAGAAGTCTTTGTGTTATATTTTTATGTCATTTACATCAAAATGTTTAAGATAAAAAATATTTCAGATGATCAATTCTTTGGCCTATGTATGATATTAATGCTCTCACAGCTCTGAAGAGAAAATTTTAAAAGATTTCAAAAATGTTTTTCAACCTCTACAAGGGTAGGACAAATTTTTACAAAGCAAACTTAAAAAAAAGAATCTAAAAATATATGGACAACTACTCAGCTACAAAACCTATTGCTAGGAAAGAAAACATGGTCTAATAAATCAATTACAAATAAATAATAAGTAAGAATTTGAACTAATAAGACCAAAATGCAGGTGACGAAAATGAACTTTCAGAATTGCAAGCAGAGGCGAAAAGAGGTGGTGAGAAAAAAGAGGGGATAGGTCAAGAGAGATGGAAAATATTTTGGTCAAATTTACAACAGCAAAAGAATAGCAAAGACAACAAGGTTTCGCAGACATACTGTATGTCTTTTTTTCTCATGCTGAAGAAAGACAAAGTTCTTTGTTAATTAATATTAGCATAGACAAATCAGGATTAGTATAGGTAATAGAAACACTTAAAACAAATTCCCAGGGTCTAGTGCGATTGTATTAAGTATACTTAAAAAAATAGTTTAATTCATAGGAAACTAACTCTTTAAACAGACTCATTAGGCAGACCAACCATAAAAAAGCCCATTCATAAACTGAAACAAGCAATTACCAGCTCCTGAGTCTTCCTTCTATTCCATCTACAGTTATGGAAAAGAAACTGTTACAGCTAAACTAGAGCATCTACAGTTACCTCTAAAATTATTGACACGCTTAAAAATGAGCAAGAAACGCTGTATAGAATAAACAAGACAAGTAATGAGCCATATTGTAATGTTCCATACATGTGAAATGTATTTATTAGTGATTCAATGAAATAAACTTAAATTCTACATTTCCTACTTTATACATTTATTTCCAAAATAAATGAAGTGCCGTAATAATTGTCATCTCTGTTTTCAGAACTTTGTGCTTCATTCCCTCGCAAGGACAACAGCACGGAGCCTTTTTCTATAATGTTTATTTTCAATTCAAACCACAGGTGGACTAAGATGCAGTTTT